TACCTCCCAACCCCTTGGAAGAGGACTGAATCCGGTCCCCGGTTTTCCTTTTGGAGTTAGGGGGTTTTTGCATTCGATTAGTGGATGCATAGAGAAGGTTTCATTTCTGTCGAAACCATTTGCCGTTTTGCTATAGGTAGACATTTTGACAATGAAGCCCCCCGTCAAAAACTGCTTTTGCTCGGTTGACACAGCCTTTTCGTACGAAGCTCACAGCCCAATTTTGGGAGTAGGCTCGTTAGTAGTGGAGCTTGAAATGTCACATAGATTAGGCAAAGGCTCAAGAAGTGGGTTATCCTTTGATTTTGCGAAAATTATTTCAATAATGGTCTAGGATGCTGTTTAAGCCGGATTGCTTGAAAACCGAGGGTTGTACATTTATTTGTTTCATTCTTGATGAAAGCTCAACCCAGGGTCGTAATTTTCCTTGTTCTAGTCTCCGTCGTGATGAGAGCATTTACTGAGTTGCTTTTAATTTCTACATCCTATCGAAGCTTTTTTGAGTATTTCCGAGGGAACCTTTTCTGTTGACCGGCAGTCTTTCATTGCGCTTTCTTTTGTAAGCTGTCACTTAACTCTTACATCACCCACGCATTTTTCTGCTCAATTTAAAGTTCAGTAGCGAGTAGGGCAGCGTGATGGAGTGGGTGCATTTTTCACTTTTTTGGTCGAATGTGTAAAGTTCTGCAATTTTTTCCCTCGGAGGAGTGATGCATTTGCTTCCACTTTATGTAAAACTAATCAAAGATCTCTCTTGTGTTACGCTCGGATAACTTCAATTGATGCGCATTAAAGTGTTCCCTCTCCTGTGTTTACAATACCGGTTTGGTTTCCCAGTTACTGCATCGCTGTTTACAAATCTTGTTTCTCTCACCCTAATTTTTACCCTTAGCCTTTATTTGTCTTCTTACCAGTCTATATTATCGGTTTGGTTATCCAGTGGTTAGCCTCAGCTACGTTCCCTAAAATTCTTAAATTTCTCCTCTTCTCTCCTCTAGAGCTTGTCTAGTCCTGTACCTATGCATGTGCTGTGTTTCGCAAAGTGTCTACATCTTGAGTAGAAATCGCCCCCTATATGAAAGGCTGATTGATTAGGCATGCCTTGAAGCAAGAATTTATCTTGCAGTTCTGGCGTGGTCTTTTGCTCTGTCCTCGATTTTTCCTTCCATCCTCAGCTTCTCCATTTCGGTCGATAGTATCAATTTCGAATTGCTTCACCTTAGTCTCTAATTACATCTGAGGTGTATTCATCACTAATGAAAGCCTCCTATAAGCCGTGGGCGGAGGTGATAGTTGCTTGTTCTCTTCCTATTAGTCATGGACGACGTCACTCTAATGAGTAATCATGGCGGTGGTATTGTATTGGAATAGCGAAGTTAGCCATAAGTTAGAGCCCATTGTTGTCATGCCCTTTGATTTTTGGCTGAGTATTCTGTCGAGTAGAGTAAAAACGATTCTGTTTAGAACTTTCACTAGCACAGCGTGCTTTTGCAAAGACTCTGACCGAATTCAAAATCGAAACGGTGGGCACAACGCAAACAGATGATGAAAGAGTCATTGGTACGTTTCGTAATAGTGTTTTTATTATTGGCTCATTCATTTTTCTTTGTCATCCATTTGGAAATTCATCGAGCAATTTCAGGAAACTGTCTCAGGGAATTTGGCAAGCTTATTAATCAAGTTGAAGAGGAACGTACTAAAATCCTCAATGAAGCCGAATCTCATTACTTGGAACCGCTAAAGAAGTGAGTACAGAGAGGCATCATTCTTTCACTTTTAACACGTTGACGACATCGCGCGTTTTGTGCTTTTGCACCGCGTGGGACAAGAGCGATTTTGCGAGCGCAGCCGCCGCACACCAAATCCATGGATTTTGAGCTGTAAATACGCAATACTTAGATGCGATGAAATGTTTTCAATGATGTTCGATCTGTCTAAGCTTATCAGGAGTTACAGTAATGGAAGTTTGACCGAAATGACGTGTTAAGGCCATGAAAAGGGAAATTTTACTTAATTTCCCTTTAGTGGTTCCAAAATTAATTTGGACGTGGTTGTTTCAGTAAAAACACATATCTTCCCATACGAATAGGTTTGTATTCACTTCTGTTATTCCTTTTTATCAACATGTCTACGTTATTGAAAAGAAAACGAGGAATGAACTGAACAGACATATCCGTAAGGTCTGGAAAACCTCTGCCAAACTAAAGAATATTTGGCCTTTCTGTGAGCCATGTGGTTTTTAAGTATGCTAATGTATGACCTATAGAATGAGTACAAAGACCTTAGGAATAAGTCGCACAAGCGCAAGAAAAAGGGATGACTTGGGTGGGACGCGTTACCGCGTCACGCTGTCGTCAACGTGTTAATGAATAACTTTTTCTAATGTGTACGCTTAAAACTTTGTGAGGGCTCAAGTGTCTCTTGCAAAAGACTCCAAAGAACCCTCAATTTTTTTGCACATGACAATATTTTGGTGCTTAGCACTTTATTCAGGCCTTTAATACTTTCTTTCATAAAGGTGATGGATTTTGATAAATTTGTTTACGATTTGTTGTTTAAGTTTTGAGGTTTTTCGACAATATGCAGAGAGGGATAGGTAAAGCGAAAGATTGAGGATGCAGACAATGGTTGAATGCGATTGCTCTTAGCAATTTGAGAAGTGGAATAGAAAATCAAAATTACTTTCAATCTCCCTCAAGGGTTTATTGTTCTTCCAAAGCTTCTTTATAACGACGAGATTTGATAGAAGTTTTAGATGGAATGATTTTAAAAGAATTGAGAACATTTGCGACACTGGTTCTCATCTATTTCAAACCATGTGGAAGTGTTCCTCAAACGTCTTTCCCTAAGTTCAGCCTTTCAAAGTTGAAACAGCTCGTCTTTCTATAAACACTACTGTTAAGGTTTCGAGTTGAAGCAATTGGTCGAACGTTACATGAAGAGAAACGGAAATACGAGAAGGAAAGTACTAAGTTCTACCAGAGTTTGGAAAAACACCTTCATTTAAGTACGGTGAGTTAACCTTACTGGTGAAAATTAATTTCCTCTCCTGTTATTTTCAATATTTCTTGCGTGATTGCGGTTTGATAGAAACATTACTGGAATTGAAAAAATAAGGTGTATTGGTGCAGCCGGTTTGAGCTCAGTATGAGCTGGTCAGGTCACCGCGGCACTTTTCCGTGTGACCGTAATCATAGTTTGCGATTTTGCGTTCTTTCATGGAGTAGATACGTATTTGATCTGGTGATTGAGCCATACCTCTATTCCTCGAATAAAAGTGCAACACAATTACAATGTGTGATCGCGTCCAAACGGTCCCATCGTTACCGTAGTCTCTTTTCTAGCATAACTGCGCACATGGGTGTTTTAACAATTCGTTTAATTAATGTTTCTCACCAAAATTCTGGTCTCAGCACTTTTAATCTCCGCATTGTCGGAACACTGAGCATGACTAGGGTAATAATGGGGTGCGCATTATAGTCTCAGCAACGCGTACATGTGCTTGTCAAATCTATCGTTTCCGAATAACGCCAGTGGTTTCCAAGAATTATTTATGGGTTTATTTAGAGTTTTCAATGAACCCTGATTATCCTCGCATAGTAGTGAATTTCTGAGAGTCACTCTTTGTTATCACGTCGCCAATACGTTTTTTTAAAACTCTAGTCTTTGATTCACGGCTGAGCTAACCATAAGGGACGTGAGCACAGATTTTCCAGTTGGATGTGATTGAAGCGTTTCGTTTTCTAAAGCCCAGATTCGCTGTTTCCAGTCTGCGAAACATAATTGCAGCGGCGGCAAAACTATGTCGTAGTCGTTATCGAATAGTAATTTCGTTATAAAGAGCGTGAGTACACAAATTTTCAGATGAGGAAGAACGACTTTCGTGAAGCTGATGCTCAATTGGATATTCAACAACACAGTTTCTGCAAAGCCTCTTTACAATATGTCGCGGAGATTCAGTCAGTTCAAGAACGGATGAAGTTCGAGTTCGTCGAGACGCTCAGTTCCTTCCTGTATTCCTGGCTAACCTTTTATCACGTTGGTAAGTTCTTTTGTGGTTGTTTCTGTCTTCTTTGGTCCCACTGAATTGCGTTTAATATGTACTGAGAATTGCGATTTTTGTCATGAATACTTTTCAGTTTGTACTTTTTTGCTTGACATTTTGAGATTTTCTGCCAACTTTATCATAGAAACGGTATTCCCATTGTTCATTCTCTCTTCATTCATCACCGTCTTCTACATGAAGATTAAATTAAGCAGAAATTGTATGAACCTCATTCATCAAAGAAATGCGCTGTAAGAAATGGTCAAAATGAACGCAGAAAGAATGAGTCTATCTATGTTCAGGGCACGTGATTCATGAAGATTTCAAGCCTTTTCTGGATGGTGTGCAGGACAGGGTGCAAAAGGTAGTGTAGAAGTGTTCAAGCCTCAAAGATATCAGCTTGACCATTCTTCCTAAATCTGTGATTCAGGCCAAGGAAAGTTATATGGCGACCATTGCTGAAGCAGAAGAACTTAAAGAGAAAATGCTCAAAGCACATGCTAAGGCGGTGAGTTGCTTTTTTTTTCTTGCGAACAATTTCATAATGAGTATTTATTTTTTTGCAATTAACTACGGTTTCTTAATTTTCTCGGTCATTCCGTTTTTTTTGTTCCATATTCTCTCTATTTCGACGTTTGCTCTTTCTCCGAGCGCTTATCCGAAAGCGGTCGTAAATTTACAAACCAACACCAAGTGCTTGATCTCGCACAAGCAAATCCTGCTCCATTTCATATTCCTATAGGTTTATCTATGCTTATTCGTTCTCTCCGTTTTGTTGTCTTCGATTATTCATCTAATTTTTTTTCATAGCTCTCCCATTTTCCTCCCTCCTACTGCATTCGCAGCTTTTTTCTCACCTCTTCTTTTTTCCCCTATTTCTTTCTTTAACTCCTATCACACTTGCGTTCCGTTTTTTGGATCTGTTTTTCCATAGCATTCGCATTTTGCACGGCTGTAATATTGTCTGGTTCGATTCTCGATTCCTCTAAGAATGGCAAGTAATGTGGAACATACAAAGCAATTCTAAATAAGTAAGGAAATGAGAGTATTATAATGCTTTAACGTCTTCTCCTGATTTTTGTTCATTTCTTCTTCTCGGGTTCCAGTTGGAATAATTTGACTCAGGGTGTTTTTGAATGACTGTATCTCAGTTTTTCTGGAAGCGTTCTGTAGTAGAGAGCGCTAGAATATGGCATGGGGTGTCTGTTAATGGACAGCGATACTTTCCCACATTTTCAAAAGGGCGGTTGAGCAACTGTCGAAAATTTAAAAAGAATTTTCCGAGTTAAAGCTGTTGGGTTCATGAGGATCGTTTATAGGAATACCATGTTTTGCCTTCAATTTAAGCTAGGGAAATGTTAGGACCAGCGCGGGGGGGGGGGGGGGTGAAGCGTTGCATGACAACCGCTCCTGAATCCTATCTCAGCATTGTGCCGATGTTATTGTAATGATTACATTCGCTTAGGCCACTGTCTAGTCTGTCGTTAGAGATCACACTTTTTTACAAATTGACGGCATCACTTTCATGATCTTTTTTTGTCGTAGTCATCGCGCTAGTTTTTTGCCGCAGTTTGTTGAATGAGCTTTATCGCCTAGCGAAGAGGTTAAGGGGTTGGTTACATCGTCGGCTTAGACAGTCCACAGGTTCGAATGTGTGGCTCTGATGTCATTTCATAGGTTAAGCATGATTTTGAATATCTCGACTGTAGCAATATTGCTACTTTCAACAGAAATCGAATGTGTGGCGTATTCGAAGGGTGTTCATGATGGCCGGTTTCACTTGCGAATGCTGGACTGTCCTGGTGTTCAAACCTTTCCAATCCCAGTAAGGACATTGTATGGTGTACCCTTTCAAATATTTTTGTGACATCCGACAGGAATAAAGTGTTTGGCGCATTGCAAAACAATCTCTAGAAAAAACAGATTTATTCCATTATTTTCATTTTAATGGTGCACAGTGGTAAAATCTATCGAATACGCATAGGTTATTTGAAATCTGAGTACAGCTCATCATTCTCATTTATACGGCTTCTTCAGACTCAGTTCCAAACTCACGCTGCAGGGGCAGTTACCACTGGTGGTTCTGAGCGTTCGTCGACTATCAAACAAGGGTATGTATACATGCAGGAAAAAAGCAAGTTACCAAGTGAGTTTTGTGCTACTGGTCAGTATTAGTGAGGTGTTACCTGATTTTGCAATAAGTTGTTTGGTTTAAGAAACAATAGGAAGAGATGTGCTGGCTGGAAAATGGACCAAATACTATTGTGTTTATTCAAAAGAGACGAGAATTTTCACAATGATACCGATTACGGCCACGTCGAAAACGGTAGGAATCGTTACTGTGGTCATTTTTTGTTTTGTTTTTCTTTTTGTAAGGAATAACTCATTCCACAAATCCGATATCTGCCCAATATGTGTCATTTTTCTCACTGCTTTTCATGGTTTGTTGGAATTGCTGCGGCATTGCTTCCATTCTATTACACACCCGAAGACCATTGGGACCATCGCTTTGTGCAGGGTTTTGAGCTTTCCAAATGTCAGGCACAGGTGGTTATGGTTCCATGTTCTTTTCAGCGAGAAGGTATTTTAGTGGATTTTTGTAGGGGAACGTGCGGAGAGATGAGTGGTTCTGGAAGGAAAGTGGTCCTTGTTTTTCCTCACCAGCATGTGTAGTACCATAGAAATGAATGTGGTCAAGTTTTTAACAACAGTAAAAACATATTTCGAATTCAGTCAACAGGTTTATGATGTCCAGTAGATCCCTGAAGTGGGTAATTGCGTGTTTTACTAGAAGTACCTTGAAGTGGCCAAGTACTTTCTGACAACAAGTTCGAGGCGTTTCGGGTGACGATCGCTCTTTGCCTCATGCCCTTCTTCTGCTATGGATTCACTCATTGTCGCTATAATCGGTTATTGAAGAGACTTCATTTCGCGAATTTGCTTTATTGCCGATT